AACGTTATGACACCTGTTTCCTACGAGCGGTACGATCGTCGGTCCGAATTTCGAGTCAGGGAAATCCCTTTAACTCGGGAATGGACCACGTGCGAGCTTGTTAGGACAAAGTTTTAATAAATACGGGATTTAATGGGGGATTTCAAAAGTGAACGAGAGCGAGAAGTATAATTACTAACATTATTTATTTTTATGTATTATAATTACTAACAATATTTATTTTTATGTTACTTATTAAAAGATATGAATAACAGATGGTTATATAACAATCGGCGCTATATTGCCTAATTTGCTATAATTAATCTATACATTCTAATCTAATTAAATAAATACCGCAACAGTCTATTCAGTGTGCGCTTTATGTCAAGTAGTCGGATGAGTCGGATGGGTTCTGATCAATCTATTTCATGGATGGAAATGGAGGAAGGAGGGAAAAGGTTATAAAAGAATCCTACTGGAATGGATTGGCGGAATTCGGGAGGAATACAGGGATACAGGATGTTGAGGTTTGGCCGGTGATGGCATTTCGGATTTCTTCAGAATCAAAGTAATGAGGGCCGATTGTGTAGGCCCCCTAAGGGATGGATGCGGTAGTAGTCCGTGGGAATTGGGTGATGAGTGACTCGAGAGTGTCACTCTCTAGGATGCTGAAGTAAGATCTAGGTGGGGGTGGAGGAATTTCCTCTAAGAACTCCACGCTGTCCGTGGAGTTCGTCGGGAACGAAATTCCTCTGGGGGAAATTGGGATCGACGAATCAGATGATTGTGGAGGAGTATCTGGAAAGATACTCTCCGTCAGTGCGTCCAAAAATGCGGATAACGGAGATCGAAAGGGAGGCGAAGGAGTTTGCGGGGGAGATGAAGGTGTTTGAAGGAGAGGAGGTATAACCTCAGACTGATTAGCCGGCGGAGCCGGTGGTGATGAGGGTGGTGGTGGTAGTGAGTGGTCCTCGGCCTGACGACCCTGTTCTCGTGAATCCCCGAGGTACTTCTTGAATTCCTCATCCAAGAGTCTATGTGCCTCCCGGTAGGCCCGGCTTCTAAGCCACCCATTGTAAGGATTCAGATGCGGCACTATAATTTAGTATAAATTATAGCGGATGATTCTTATATATATGTATATATATATATATATATATACAATACATGTGTGTGTGCGTGCGTGCGTGCGTGCGAGTGTGTGCGTGCGTGCGAGAGTGTGCGTGCGCGCGCGCGCGCGCGTGTGTGTGTGTGTGTGCGTGTGAATGGGACTTACTGTTGTTCTGCAGATGTGGGTGGATCTAATGGCTGAAATTGTTGGTCCCAGCACTCCACGGAGGGTTGCGGCACGGATGTGGAAGCTCCGGTCGAGTCGCACAGTATGATTACGTTTCACTCGATTTTTCGCGACTCAGCACTTTTGCTGGCAGACCGGTAGAGTAATATAAACCGGTAAAGTATGTATACTGATCGTGGTTATGGACCGGCAGAATAACGGTTGAAGGTTTGAATATGACTGGCAGAGTAATGGTTGGAAGTTGAAATTCAACTGGCAGAGTAACGGAGGTTGAAATTATGACTGACTGTTCCTCGTGAAGGGCCTCTTTTTATATTGGCGAGTTAATGGTGCCGAGTGCAGAGCACACGTGTGTTGTTGGCCTAATCTAGGATTAGGATTAAGTATATCGGTTGTGAAATGGGATACAGGGATATGTGTCTAAGACAACTTTCGTCATCGACCATTTACCGGATGTCCAATTGTTTAGAGCCACATGTGTCATTTATTACAGACAACTGCTGTTTTATAATTCTAATCTATTTATTCTTTCTGTTCCTCGGGATAAAGTTCGCCTATTTGGCACTTGGTTCGAATATCTAATCCAACGACTCTGTCCCGAGTGGATTATTAGTTTAAAAAGGTAAATGTTATTTGGCTCGGCGCTATTGTGACTTCTCGTGGTAGAAACAGATGGTCTATCGGTATTACTTGTTAATAATTTTTATGGTGATGACAAAAGTTTTTAGTCGATGAAAAGAACTGTGGAGTCCGGACGTAACACTTGCATACTTTTCATAACAACATCGGCTTTAGGCAAAGTTTGTTAATAATCTAGCCTAAAAGAATATTGTTGCATTCTTTACATGACCCTTTAACGGTAAGATATATACCTTTTTTCGAAATTTTGGAATTTTTAAAAAATAACGCGCATGGCAATTTTATTGGCACTTTATGAACGGTTGCATATATTTTATTTGTCCAAATTTTATGCTGCAATAATTGCGAGAAATGCAATAATTGCCCTATTTTTTATCAAAATATGATATTTCTTCAGGAAACATGTGTTACGTCCGGACTCCACGGTTCTTTTCTTCGACTAGAAACTTTCGTCATCACAAAAAATTAGTGACCAGTAGACCTTCCGTTACGGTAGCGACGAGCCAAATAACATTTTAAACTAATAACCCGGGACAGAACCGTTGGGTTAGATATTGGAACCAAGTGCCAAATAGGCGAACCTTATCCCGAGGAACGGGAAGAACAAATAGATTAGGATTGTAAAATGTAACAGCAGCTGTGAGCAATAAATGACATGTGGCTCGAACTTATTGGACATCCGGCAAATGGTCGCTGACGAAAGCTGTCTTAGACACATACCTCTGTATCCCATTTTATAACCGATATCCCTAATCCTGGATTGGTCCAGCAGCACACGTGTGCTCTGCTCTCGGCACCTGTAACTTGCCAGTATAAAAGGAGAGGCCCTCCACGAGGAACGGCATTCGGCAGTCAGCAGTCAGAAGATAGTAGTGATCGGTTGCCAGTATTATTTGTCAAATTTTCAAACTAAACTCTGCCGGTTTGCAATTAGAACCGTTCTCGTTCAACTCCATCTCCTTGGGACTTGAACAAAAGTGACCAGAGTCTCCACATCCGAGTGGCAACCTCCCGTGTGGTGCTGGGACCACCAATTTCGCCTGCTTGATCCGCCCCACATCCGCAGAACAATAGTAAGTCCCATCCACACACACACACACACACACACACGCGCGCGCGCGTGTGTGTGTGTATAAAAGAACCAACCACTATAATTGATACCAAATTATAGTGCCGCGCCCGAACCGTCCCTTCAAAGGATGGCTTCGAAGCCGAGCCTTTCGGGAGGCACGGAGACTCTTAGACGAAGAGTACAAGAGGTACCTCGGGCATTCACAAGGGCAGAGTCGTCCGGCCGAGGATCGTTTACCACCACTACCATCTTCGTCACCACCGGCTCCGCCGGCTGATCAACTTAAAGTAATACCTCCTCCGCCTCGAACACCTTCACCTCCTCAGCTACCTCCTTCTCCTCCCCTTCGGTCTCCTTCACCCGCGTTTTCGGACGCACTTACAGAGAGAATCTTTCCCGATACTCCTCCACAATCATTCGAATCATCCCACCCAATTTCCCCCAAAAGAAGTCCATCTCCGACGAACTCCACGGACAGCGTGGAGTTCCTAGAGGAAATTCTTCCACCTCCACCTAGATCCTACTTCCGGATCCTAGAGAGTGACACCCTTGAGTCACTCATCTCCCAATTCCCGCGGGTTACAACCGCATCCATCCCTCAGGGGGCCTACACAATCGGCCCTCATTATTTCGATCCTCAGGAAATTCGCAATGCCATCACTGGTCAAGCCTCAACTTCCAGTATCCCCGTATTTCTTCCGAATTCCACCCATGCAATCCTAGTTCCAGTCAAATTCTTCAATAATCTTTTCCCCCCTTCCTCCGTTTCCATCGTTGAAATATGTTAAGCCAAACCTAGCCGATTCCCCCTCTAACACGGTCACATACAATGTATAGCTATTATAGTAGAATAAGATAGTACTGTAGCCGCTATAGAATAGTAACAATAATAATGCATAAACTAGATATAAAGAGTATTACTTAACCGATTAACATACCACCGCGCGTTTTCCTTATCTACAATAAATCATGTTATTAATTATTCCTCTTCCTCTCGTCATTTTTATTTTTAAAACCCGCCTAATACAACCTCGTAATCACTAAACCTTGCCCTTTCAAAGCTCGCACGTGGTCCATTCCCGAGTTAAAGGGATTTTTCCTTGACTCGAAATTCGGACCGACGATCGCACCGCTCGTAGGAAATAGGCGTCATAGTGTCTTCACGAGACGTTCACTCATATTCCGAAGCGGGCAACAAAAAAAAAGGGTGCTTTCGACTCGCCGGTGTTTGCTTCCAGGCAAATACCTGCGAGACTAGAGTCTGACTGTCCTTCCACGCTCCATCCTTTTCTACTCCCTTCTCTCTCTCTCTAAATCCATTTTTCCGGAGTTTGGACGTAACACATGCTAATCCAATCTTTATACAAAAATAGAACAGTAAATTCCAGAATTTTATCACGTGTAGAGTCTCGAGCGAAGATGCACTATTTTCTAAAAGCGTCAGTTTTGAAATATGTTGCGAAAGTTCTTTATCTTATCTAAAATTCCAAATCGATACTTTATAATCATATAAATATATTTTGGTTTAATATCATTTTTTAACACTTTATTAATTTGTGTATATATTTTATTGGATATCACTGGTTCGTCATATTCCAATAAGTCTTTGTAATCAGATGGTAGAATATCCAACAAATATTTGACGTGTTTGGCCATTTCTACAGTAATAAAAATGATTTACGGAAATACTGTCGGAATAATGTCATCGATATAATAAACATTAATTGGCTAATATACGTTACTATACGTACGTTCAGAATGGTTTTAAGACGCCGTTTTCAGTAACAATATATAATATATTATGCTCTTTTCTTTTTTCTTTCTCTTTTCTTCTTTTCCCTATTTCTTTTTCTTTTTCCCTTTTCTTCTTCTTCTTCTTCTTCTTTCTCTTTTTCCTCTTCTTCTTTCTCTTTTCTTTTGTTACAATAGCCACCGAAATACCGTCGATTGTCGTTTACACGCTTCCAAGAAACACTTTTGAATGCTGCGAGATCCTACACATGTGCTTTGTCTTTTATTTCACAAATCACGCGTGATTGATATCATACTGTAGGTAATCTGACAAATCGGAACAGGTCCGTTATTTATTCCTGCACCGTGTGCACTCAGGACAAGAAGATGTTGAACTATTATATATATTCATTTAAATAAATTAATTTTAGAAATTATAATTGCGTGCCGATACACTACATGGTTGACTTTCAACGCAATCAATCTGAAATATTAAAAACCCCCTAAATTTTCAAAATTTAATTTTAAAGAACTATAATAAACTTATTGCAAAAAATATTGACCGGGAGTCGAATCCGGATTCCTGAAATTAATTCATTTAAATGAATATATTAGGTTGTTCGGAAAGTAATTTCGTTTTTTTTTATGAAAATGAAAGACGATTTTCTTATAGTGAATAAATATTTTATTGAATTATATATTGTCCATTCTGGTCCAATACCTTTTGCCATCTTTCTGGCAGTAGCATGATTCCACGTTCATAAAATTTTTGTTCTTTGCTGGCAAAAAACTGATCCAGGTGATTTTTGACTTCCTCATTTGAAGTAAAGGTTTTACCATCTAAAAAATTTTGTAGAGTCCGGAACAAATAATAATTAGAAGGTGCCAGATCTGGAGAATATGGTGGGTGTGGCAGTATATCCCATCCAAGCTGTAAAAGCTTTTGGCGAGTTACCAACTTGTATGAGGTCTCGCATTATCTTGGTGGAACACTACACCTTTTCTATTGATCAATTCTGGTCTTTTCTGTTTAAGTGAATCATTCAATTTGTCCAGCTGATGACAGTACACTTCAGAATTGATCGTTGTGTTGTCCGGTAGAAGCTAAAAAAAAATGATTCCTTTGAAATCCCAAACAGATATTTAGTATTACCTTTTTTTGATGAATATCGACTTTCGAAGTGCTTTGAGCCGGTTCATCTTTTTTACTCCATGATCGCTTGCGTTTAACATTGTTGTAGACAACCCATTTCTCGTTCCCAGTGATGACGCGGATCATTTTCCAAAATGGATCATTTTCTTGACGGTTGAGAAGCAAATCACAGACGTCAATGCGACGGCACAAATTTCTTTCCGAAAGAACATGAGGAACTCATATGTCGAGCTTTGAGATTAAACCTAGGCGTTTCAAATGATCATGAACGGTCGAATTCGATAAATTTAATCTCTCAGCGATCTCACGAGTTGTTATTCGCCGGTTTGCATCAATTAATGCCTTTATTGTGTCTTCA